CCAATTGCTTGAATTGGAAAATTAACTGCGATGATCATTCTTCACTTTCATCTACAACCGCAGTTCATATATGAATTATTTCATATAAACTTTACATCAATATTATTGTAAGCTATATTAACAAATTGACGTCAGTTTTTTCATGTATCTGTCTTGTTACTGATCATGAATTTCGTTATAACATTGTCAAAGTAGCTGTGGATCCATGAGGCAATAGCCAGGTGGATTCGCAGACTACTTTGACAATGTTATGCTGAAATTCATTGTCAATAACAGGACAGACGCATTAAAAACTGACATCAATTTGTTTTTTACAATAACAAATTGTGAAATTGTCCGCTCTTGCCCGTTGACGTATCTCTCGCAGGACATTGACAATGTGTCTGTCCGGTTATTGACAATGACAATTAGCCAATGAGTGTGCGAGAATTTCTGCAGTTATCATAAAAAAAGAGTTTTACTTTTCCTTTCAAATTCCCATGACTGATGTTAAAAGATCACATTTAGATCCTGGAATTGGATTAACTCTTGGGGTCAAAAGCTGGTTTTCACTAGCAGCCCTGGCTGTCACTAAGCGACGGCTGCCAGCGAAATTCACCAGCTGAGAAAGAGGTGATTGCCAGCTGGATTTTTGCAGGCGATCACTTGGTAAAGGACAAAGAATGGTTTGTAGGTTACGCACGTACAATCATTTCATATCTGAACCATATCGAACCATCTAAATTCAAAGTTTGGAATGAATTCCTGACTACCTTGAGTATCAGTGCCACTATAATGAGAAAAGTACTTGAAGTAAAATCTTGCTTTGAGCACTTGTTTAAGGTGTTCTCTTTCCATGTACTGCATCCGCCATCTTGTAAACAGGAAGCTTGGTAGCCCCGCATTCAAGGCATTGTGAAAGATTAGGGGCCAAAAAAAAGTTTGAGGTCGCTTGTGAAAAATGGTGACCGGCTCAATGAAAATTTTAGCCAGGAGACAATTTTCTCAGCTACAACCCTGCACTAGTACAAAAGCATAAGCAGACATGCAGTCACAGTAACTTGATAATTAGCACCTTTTGTTAGAACAATTTCCTAACAACACATGCTAGTTAAAAGCACCTTACTGATTCTGTGTATGTTGCTTATACTTAAGCTTGTGCACTGTTTAAAAACAGCCTTAAGAGACTGAAACATGTGGAAAGCTCGAACTGCATATGGTTAAAAGTATGAGGCGGCATACCTAGCTGCTCACAGATGTGTTCTTGGTTTTCCATCTCAGCTTTTCTGTCAAGAATGGACTGAACGCTGCCCTGAAAACACAATCAAACAGTTCCTAACATAAGAGCAGTGGAGCTTAGAGAGTGAATAATAAATTTAGAGGAAGAAACAATTACTTACCTTGACTGCCTTAGGAATCTGGTCAACATACTGTGGTTTAATAATGGCCTGGTAAAAATATACAAAGGACAGTCATGTCATTCAATGTCAAGTATTCAAACTGATGGATCTTGAAAATTTCACAGAATATTTTAAAAGAAAAATTCAAAAATTCAGGCACTGTTTTTTCTGGAATTTCTACATTATTTTCACATCACAGTGGTGGCAGCGTAGTGAAGTGGTTTATAGCGCTGGTGTTGTAATCTAGAGGTCTTTAGGTTCAAGCCTTCTCTATCCTATCAATAGCTAGATATATTTGTTCTAAGTTGTCCTGAGTTAACTTCCACTGTAACACTTTGTAAATAGTCAACTGGCCTGCCTCCAGTTGGGATTTAAACCTTGTTACCATTTATCAGTCATTATTTTAAATTCCATACCTTCAAGTCATCTTCTAAGATCTTTGTAAAATAGTTTTGCAGTTCAGATCCTCGGAAGTATAAAAGGATCTCTTGCCAATCAGGAGGATTCTGAAAACAACATATATTGTTACCATTTTAAAATAGATCTTATTGTCAAGTGGAAAATTCACTGGCCCAGAGGTGAAGAGTGTTTAAAATTATAACATACATTAAATCTCCCAAGGTTTGGTTTCTGTTTACCCGCCAAGATCTTCAGTGCTGTAGATTTACCAATTCCATTTGTCCCGACCAACCCTAACACCTCCCCAGGCCGCGGAATGGGCAACCTACAAAGCCAGACAAGAACGGAGTTACCTCATGTATTGCAACAACATCCCTGGTTGATTGTTACTTTTATTTGTAATTTTTATTACCTATCTGCTTGAAAAATTTATGGGAGAAATAATACACAAAGTTTAGTACCATTCACAATTGCCAGGTACATTTTGATGGGTACACTGACTGCAAATTTTCTTTCAAATGCTTCCTTAATTAATACAAAGAACTGATTGCCAGCATCATCTAATTCAATGGAGCACATCTTGACACAATTAGCCTTAATTTCTTTAAGTTTCTTCTTTGAAATCAGTCCTGATCTGTTTGCCAAGTCTCTACAGACTTGGCCAAGTTACTAATCTTGTGAGTTGAATTGAGGCTTGGTTTATATTTCTATGCAAACTCTCCTAGATTATCCAGAAGTGTTTTGGATGCAGACTGAATCTCCCAGACTCCTGTATGGGTCAACAAATCTACTAAACAATACAAATGAAAGCACATGTACATAAAATACATTTTTCAAACATACTTTGGCTGCTTTTGGCATTTTGTGGGGAAACAGTTTGATATTTAATGCATTTTTGTGGTTGAAATGGTGGAGTCCCCCTTCTAACAACTTTTTGGGGGATCAAGAAGATAAAATTAGCAATTTCTCTGCTTTTGATTGTTTTAAACATCACAAAAAAATAACCTCTAAGGTTTTTGGGTTTATTGTTTGAATATTACAAACCTGTGAAGTTTGAATGAGTTGGCATTGTAGCGATGTGTGGTTTCCTTTTCAAGATTGCTTGGAAGATTGATGATTGTTATAGCTTCAAATGGACATTTCTGAAGAAGAAAATGGAATATTTCACATTCAGTTTCACTCTAGTTGTCTGTTACGATTTAACAGTAGTGAGTTGCGTAAACTGGGCTGTTCCAGGAAGTATTCATGCACTTCCAAGGAAGGTTTTCACTGGAAATTCTGGTTCACCTTCATACTTCCTTTCTTTGAGACCCCCACTCCCTTGGGAACTTCCAATGACCTTTTAAGGAGAATTATGAATCTTTTCTGGAACTGAACACTATTTCACTCTGAATGAGAGAGGCTGGAAACAAGTTTGGTATTTGGTACAGTGGAACCCCGACTTACGGCCACCCTGTCAATATGACCACCTCGTTATTACGGCCACTTTATTCTGGTCCGAAAAAAAGATCAGTTAGAAATTTTCCTATTTAAAGAACCCCTATAATACGACCAATTTTCCATGGCCCGAAGGTGGTGGTATTAAAGGGGTTCCACTGTACCTCATACTAACCGAACGTAGCCATACTGGGTAATGTGAACACAGCGAGATACATATAAAAATGACCGAGGACCAATATTCCCCAGTACAACTCGTGCAAGCTAGGTTAGTGAGTAGTTTATCATGTGGCACTCTGGCCGTGCTTGCCAGCTTTCAAAAACAAACAAATAAAAGGCTTATGATGGTGTTGAAATGGTCTGTATGATAAAATCAATCTGACCTAGAAAGAACCAAACAGAATGCTTGATTTACCTCAAGGCTACCTTGCCATATAACAAACTTTCCCTTTTATCTCAGATCTGTATTCAGCTAAATATAACTTTTACTTAATCAATAAACTAAATGAAAATACCTGTTAAAACAAGATTCACAGATATCCTTATTTATTTCATATCACATGTACACACACGATCCTTTAAATAGATGAGTTATGGTTTCAATCTGAGAGTATAAAATAAGCTTACAGTTATCTCTCTAACCGAAACCTCGGTTGGTTTACCTTCGCACAAATTCCACAACCGATACATAGCGGTTCAGAAATATATGCAACTTTCGATTCTGGAGTAACTTCAATACACAGTTTTCCTGTCGATACAAGATACATGCCTGCTTAAGTATCTAGCACAAAAGGAGAGTACAATACAGAAAAGTACAGACTTTTCATAACACGATGTTACGTCTTACCCATTCGGACAACTGGACACGATTTCTTGCATTCCTGTCGACATCGTTTTGGTTTACATTTGTCAGTGCTTACAATAGCAATTCGTGTAAGTTTATCTTGAGTTTGTTGATTTTGCTGAGCCCGGGCAGCCATCAATTTAACTCAACTGGAGAGAAAAGTATACTACACCGGCCGATTTCCTAATTTTTTACCGGAAAATGGAAAAGGGCTTCCGTAGCCACGTGAGGCTTGTACAAATGCGCGCGCATTATTGAACACTTCCGGTAAAAATATTTCAAAACTTTCTCTGGAGATAGCGACGTATTTAGACTGTACTTTCGCGGACTAAGAATGTATTGAGATCTATTTAAAGCAATTGCCGCGTTTCTGGCAGACAGCTCTGGTCAAATGAGGCAAAATTACTCAAAATTTTCACCAACAAAGGCAGCCATCTTGAAAATGGTGCAATAGTTAAAGTTTCCATTCGTGTAAGATGGCACGAAAACTGCTGTAGTCCCCAGCCCTCTATTCATCCACGTGTTACCAATGTTGTCAAGATGGACGTCCTCGGGTTACATCACCATTCGTCTGTTTCTGGTAAAATTTTCCCGATTTTTCGAATTTCGCGTTTTGCTTTTATAAGTCGTTGTTGGGCAACTTCAAGTTCTAGCTCTACAGCTAATAATAAGGGTGAGGACGGTCCAAGTGAATCACTCCAGGAAAGTGCCAAGGGTCCAAGGGATGAGCACGATATTCCGCCTCCTGAAAAATTAAGCTTGTATGAATACGTAAAGATACTAGAAGGAACCTTAGCACGTGGAAAAGGCACCATTTTAAAAGCTTGGTCAAGCCTTATTGCCCGGCATTTAAAGCACAAGAAGTTGAACATTACCGCAGCGTTACAGCCCGAATCACCGCGGATTGTTGGTCTGACAGCACAACTTGTTGAAGAAAGATTGAATTTCTTGGCTCAAATAGGAATAAAGGGAAGGGATGCGGTGGTAATAGCTATGGAATTTCCAGCTATCCTCTCCTGGGATTCACCCAGCTTCACCGTGATGCTGAGACTCCTCAAAGATTTGAACTGCGACATTATTAGGTTAATGTGTAAAAGCCCATATGTGTTTGGTTTCGAGCACGGCAGAGCAACAGAGAACATCCACAAACTTGAAACTGTGGGGCTGTCAAAAGATACAATTGGGAAGCTTGTTTCGGTTAATCCTTTGATTCTGACCTTCCCATTAAGGGATGATGCCTTGGAAGTAATCGGACTTTTGTTGGACGCTCACAACAGCATTCAGTCAAATGGTGTTGATAATGGAGATATGAAAGAGGACGAGGCAGTTCTAAACTTGCTCCTTCAGTCGTTAGAAAAACTTAAAGAGCAAGTCAATTTGACTGATAATTTTAAGCGACTTGTTATTTTTTTTCAAGAAATGCAAGTGTCACCTTTAGTCATTGGCGTCAAGAGTCCAGCAATCTTCAATACTGACATTGAGAGATTAACTAGTGCAGTAGAGTTTTTCAGAAGCAAACCCCTCTTGCTGGAAATGGATGTCATTCAACACCTTCTCATTTCAAGAACTGAGATCTTTGTAAATTTTAACTTTGAAGCAATGACAAATAGGGTTCAACTGATTTATGATGTTGTCCAAAGTCCAACAGTGCTATATAATTTGGCCCAAACAAAATTTTTGTTTGATAATAACAATGCGACAATCAAGGAGCTCATCCTGTGGTTTCAAAGTAAAGGTGTTGATGACAAAGAGATAGCAAACCTGGTGACTGCAAGGAATTTCTTTTCTCTTAAAAAGAGAGAATTGACTGAGAGACTTAAATATCTATTGTCAATTGAAGGAGTGAAGATGGAAGACATTAAGAAAAGCCCCTCGTGCCTTTTGAAGCCTCTGTCTCATCTGAAAGCAAGAGTTGAGTTCTTGAAAGCAAACAAACCTGATGGTTTCAATGAAGGTGACCTTTGTCGTATGATGACACACAGAGATGAACACTTTGCTACTGAGATTTGTGGATCAACGTTGTCAAACTTCACTGAGTTTATGCAATCAAACCAAGCATGAGATATAACAGAAAGCCCTTATACATTCAGTGTCGAGAGCACCCAGAACATAAGCACACACTGTAGGTTATTGGTAATGCAAGCTACATGTACTAGGAAAAAGTTATCAAAGTGCTTCCAAGCAGAGTGGATTGAATATGACCTTCTACATGTGTACATGGCTCTAATGAGCAAGCTACTAGGAAAAAGTTATCAAAGTGCTTCCAAGCAGAGTGGATTGAATATCACCTTCTACTTTTATGTACATGGCTCTAAGGAGCTGATTGTAGACTTACGCTACGAAAGACTTAGCCTGCAAACAAGCTCCAACTCTTTGACTGTGAAGAAAGCTTGATTACAGTGATTAGGAGACTAGCCCAGGGAGGGACTCCCATATAAAATCGGTGGGGGTGCTCATCATACCTTTCTTTAAAGGCTGATGTGGCTTCCTCTTTAAATATTGTAATTCTTTGCAGTGTTATAAAAGCGGGTGTGGTCCACAGGAGCCTTCGCAGTCACTGTCAGTTTTATTTTGTTGTTTTAGAATTGGCACCTCTTGAAAGGGATGAATAAAATTTCAAGCCACATATACAAAACAGATGTTGAGACCTCTTAGGGGTTCTTTCCAGAATTCCTGGCAAGCACCCTATCCCTTGTTATATGGGAGTTCTCCCCCCCGGAGACTTGGCCATATGCAATGTAAATGCAACTTGGTTCAAAATTGACTCCTATTGTTACTTTCTGCTGTTGCTTCTTTCAAAAGCCAAGATGTGTTCCATTTGCGGGTCAATTGAGTTTTGATTATGAACTCAAAGGAATCAGGTTTTCTCCTTTGTACAGAAATGAAAACAATGACATTGTTGAAACAATAACATAGTCAGTGCAGAGTAATATATTATTCTTGCAACAATGAGCATCAAATCAACCCTGTATTGTGGTACAGAGCCTAATAATTAAAGTCACATTTTGTTTGAGGTTGCAGATGGAATGGATTAATTTTATTGAGGGGTGGGAGGAGAGGTGGCTGAATTTTTGTTTACCACTGAATTCTCCCCCCAGTGTTGATGATGGTAAGCCATACTTGTATTCTGGGTATAGGACTTGAACTAGCTTGCAACTGAGGCTACGGCAGGGAATCTTTCAAATGTAAATGACATAAATCTCTTTTTAATGATATTCTCCCCACGAGTGTCCATTGCAAGCTAGTTCCAGTGCAAGACTGTGAATAAGAATTTGGCCTATTGTTGCTAAAGTGTTCAGTTTGTCCTGGGTGAACTGACATTTTGTCAACCTTAGTAGAAGTGATCTTCAGAGTCAAAAATTATTTCACTTGACTCTGAAAAACAGTTCTGCCCTGCTTGACTAACAACAGGCCTATCCATAACTACCCTCTCACTCACATCAAAAACGACTGATTATACTCGTGGGATAACATGATCCACAAAATAAAATAAAAAACAAGACATGCTCTGTTTTACAAGTTTATTTCAGATTTATACAACAAACTCATATGGGATTGGTTCCAAGGTCTCGGGAGTGTTCCTCTTGGTACGCACAAAGTGTGCAAGCCGTGGTGCAGTTGGCTGCAACAAATCAGTTAAGAATTGTTAGCTATTTGACAGAAGTGCATGTAACATTCTCTTTTAAGGTTCATATGAGATTACCCTATGTATACCGTAAGTGTACTGTATCTTTAACAACTCCAGAACTTTGTCAGCTAACAATTTTGCCTCTTTGTGTATGGAGTGAAAAACGGTAATTTATAATATTCAGTTTATTTGTAAATTAACTATTGAGAATTGCAGCCAATAAGAAGTTCTCAACAATAACAATTTTCTGGGCATGTATTAAATGCCCAGCTTTGCTGACAAGATAACTATAAGAATCCTTTCACAGTATACTATTTTCATTGTGTGCTTTGTAGTGCTACAATAATAAATATTTTCAGAGTACAAAAAAAATCCATAGTACATATTGTGCCAGTAATTTATGACAGTGACTTCAAAATTGGTAGCATTTAGTTACTATTGTCATTTCTTCATGCTGATCACATGTATTTCTAGTGATCAACATTAGGTTGTTTGATTTCCAGCTGCAGAAGACTTATCAAATTACCTTTCTTTTGCAATCAATTTTCACTAGGCCCTTCTCCTTGGCATCCTTCTTCTTCAACTCATTTTCCTTGACACGCCTGAAGGGATATTACGTTGGTTAATATATTGTTTTTAATTTACAACTTACTCCCTTTATGTATCTAAATGATCTTGTGTTTGTTATCGATTGCTTCATGTTATGTTAATGTTAATATTATCAGTGCCAGTTTGGAGTCTCTTTGCCATCCTGCCTCCAAAATGTTCTAGATAGTAAATGTCCTGGCTGTAAACTACCGAAATCAGATCACAGCTTTGGCATGCCAAGCAAATCTTACCCAAGGTTAAAATGTATATAGAGATAGGTTTAATCCCTTGAGTGCCTATATGACATACTCAGTGTGTCACGATTTTTGTCCCCCAGGTGCCTATACAATGTACTGGGCACCTCAAAATTTTAAGAGATTTGGTCAAACTCCAGGCACACCAGAAACAACTTTTATCAGCACCTAAGATTCGTGGGAGGTTTTTTAACAGACTTCTAATTTCCCATTGCTGTGACGTCAAATGGATATCAAATTACATCAACCACAGTCAAATTAACCATATTGAAGAAATACTTTTATAACCTTTGAGAAAATGTGTACATGCCCATAGTTTAAGTGAAAAAGTTTATTGCATGAAGCTTTTTACCACACAACCATTTTCAGTGAAAATGGTGCGGCACACAGTGTACACAATGGTCAGACACTCAAGAGATTAATTGTCAATCCAATTCACTGATCATCTACCTCTGATGTAATGTACTGCACTACTTGAACTCAATGCAAAATGCTATACATTTGTGACACAAGAATAAGACCATGAAATCACTTCTGTGAACATCTAAGTGACATGAAAAATGGCAACAAAGACAACTCTCAACCTGCAATATCTGTTTTCTTCGGGACAATTCCGAATGTACACACTCATTCTTACCTCAAAAAGTCATCTCGGCACTTGGAGTGCTTAATGTGTTCAACACGTACATTTATTCTCTTTGGCAAGATTTTTCCCCTTATGAAAGAGAAACAAAGCATCACTGTCAGACCAGAAACCTAATACCATGCAAAAATTATTCAAAAAAAAAAACATTTTCCACAACTCATTAAACAAACCTCTAAAACCTAGCATCAAGTCTTTACCACCACTCACATTACAACAAAACTTAGCAACAACCACAAATTTAGCAGTAATTATTGTTAACTATCAAAGTGGGTTTCCCTTGATCTTAGCCATTAGCACTAATGAAGATTTTACTCTTATCTGTGCAGTCACACATGACAGACAAGACTTGATGTACTCTGTCAGGGGTCAAAATGTTGCCTGTCTACCTGTCAATTTCAGGTCATTTTAGGAAGTGACAGGCAAAAAATATGGATGCCTGTCACAGGCGACAGGCAAGAAAATCCTTAGTAATTCAGAATTTATTGATTTGAATAATATTTTCATCCATTTTCCACCCACAGTTGTGCTCACTTGTGCAGTTCTCACACAGCAGTTACCAGACTCTACTCGATAAAAGCAACTTTGCAGTGCACATAACAAAGACAGCAAATGTGACTTGCTTTATCCTTCCGCATTTCTTTGCTAATCAAGCGTGAGTTCAGTATTTTCAGTTTGCAATATGGATCGTTTTCTAACGCGTAAACAATGTGTCAAAGAAGTGGAAGTTGAAGAAGTACATGTAGAAGAGAACTTTGAAACACCGACGATGAAACGTAATAATGTATGAGTATTCAAGTTCAATGAGAAATGGAAAGATGGGAGTGGTTGTTGTGAAAATAAATATCAAAATAATATTGTCCAAGATGGATGCTGGTGGACACAGGTGAAAAAATATTCCGCTTGTCACTAGACACAGGTAAACAGTCTGGGACATTTCGACCCCAGTCTGTTCAATCTCCGCTTTCTTCACTGCAACAGTATCTCCAGCCTACATCCAATAAAATAACAATCAGGACTATTAAGTTGGGGAGGTGTGTTTGGCTGGGATATTTTGAAGCAAACTACTTTCAGATAGACTGTCTGGACTTTTTCTTGATCAATACTATTATGTTAAACAAAGTTGCCTGTTCAGTTACTAATATTAGGCACCTTAAGATACCAGGATGGGACGAGCTAGGACAGCTACCGGAAGTAAATTCACTCAACCAGGCATGCGCACGAGAACTCTCGACTCATCTCTCTGCCGTCCTCATCTCGTCGAGGACGCATTTCGCCCGACCAGCCGTCGTATCGAAAACATGAGTATTTTGCTCCTGTTTTGCCTCGATAACTGTTCCAATTGACTTTATTTTCAGTTATATTGATAGGAATGTTTATAAGGTTCACAGTTTTCATGATTGTAGTGTAGAACACTATGCTGAGATACGAAAATGTGAATAAAAATATTCCTTGTCTGTTCGTTTGTGTTTCTGCAGTCACTGTTCAGACGCTATCACAAGTGAGCAAGCTCAATACAAACTGTATGCATTGAGAATACATCAGTGTAAGTACAGTCGATAAAATGTTATAAGAATGAATGCCATGGAGCATCTATCGAGCAAATA